AAACTGGCAAATTATACCACTCGATGCAAATAAAATAAAAAAAACTCTGAACAGTATCTAAAATTTATTTGAAAAAACATTCGAGACTAATTGAGCCCTCAGCCATACAGACACACATGTCTGTCAGCCATCGTTCAGTTGGAAGCAGAACCACAAGACATGAAACACATTTTCCTTGTTCCATAAAGAACGTCAAGTTGATGACTATACCATCCAGCCAATAGCGATGGATGTATGGAGGACTGGAAATTGGCAACGGAGCTTGAGCTCCATGGGACTCGAAATTTGAAAAACTCATAACTCAAATTTTGAAGTTCCGGAAAATTCTGACAAATACACATGTACATTTGGGATATGGCCTACAGGTGTGAAAAGTTCCATGATGAAATACATCATGATGTGGGCCACACAAAAAAAAGCAATATCATGCATTTTTTTCTTTTTTGTTGCTCACATAACAACTTATTTGCGAGGAAAAGAGAGTTTTATTCCATACAGTCGAGAGGCAAAAGATCATCAATACAAGGTGGACCTAGGTGCAACCATACAGCCGTGGTACACTCTAAACGACTATAATTTGTCAAACGGTCGGCAATTCTATTTTGATCCCTAGATAATTTCTAGGTAATAAACTCCTGGTCATTCATCAACTCCTTAATTTCAGCCACCAGATGTCCATAGGCAGAGCGAACTAGTCCATTTCTTGTAAGACTAGACAAAGCTTCACTTGAATCAGATTGGACAATGACTGGAAGGTTAGAATGTTGTAAAGCAAGCACCATTCCTTACATGATTGCATGTAACTTCGCTTCTAGTGCATCGTTGCAATTGAAAATAAACCGGTATGCAGCAAAAATAACTGATCCATTATGATGTCGGAGGATCATCCCTGCTGCCGCTGCACTAGACTCCCCTGAAAAGGACCCATCCACTGACGGAGCAACGTAATCAGTAGGAGGAGGCAGCCAAACCTTAGGAGCTGCGACCACACTTACTTCAGGCAAAGTCCAACCAGCAACCGGCATTTTACCCTTAATAATTTCCTCTGTGCTATACTTACTAGCATCTCCAATAGACTTCATATAACTCTCCAAATAGTCCACCGTAGAAGCCACCGGGGGAACCTCTATATCATGAGTAAGATCATTCTGTAATTGCCAGATGCGCCATATAAGCATAAGGACACGGTCGCGCTCGGCATCGTTACAATTAAGGGCATGTACAATGGAGGCACTAGTATAGTGCTGCTCCAGATTCCACGTAAACATTTGAGGCCGAAACCACGGTGTGAAGTGAGACCGGTCCAATGCTGCAGCCTCCCTGTTTCTCTTTCTCTTTCTCACTTTCCCAACCGCAAAGAGCTAAAGCAAGCTGAGGTTGCCATGGCATTGGCTAGGAGCAGTGGTGAATCTAGCATGAAAATGAAGGATAGGCTCAAACATCAAGTTCTAAGCCTAATTAGCAGTTGCATTGTGATTCTTGCATGTAAAGCACATAAATATAATTGTTAAGTGATATGGTTAGCTGAAATATGTTTGTGGAGGGTAGGCTTAAGCCTGATGAAGCCCACCTAGTAGACTCGCCACTGGCTAGGAGAGAGCTGAAGCGACTTTTTGTCAGGGAGGAGGCAGCCTCCTCTGGAAGCGCCCGTTCCACTCTGCAAGCAACACCTTTTTTTAGTCTGGACCACCAAATCCGATGTGGAGGGCTGGAGCGACCGTCCAGAGTGGAGCGTTGGTCATGCCCTAATCAGCAGGTTTAGCAACCACTCTTTCCCACTGTTAATAAGGAGCTGGTCACAGGGGAGCGACCAGACGCGCCTCATGGCCTCTCAAATGCTGCGTGCTTGGTTGCATGCAACCAATGCATGGTAGATATCTTCCTCCACAATGCCACAGAGGGGGCACGCCACGCGCGACGTGAGATGCCTATACTGCATGCACGCCGTACACTGATAGAAAAAGAGGCTTTCGTCCAGCCCCATTAGTCGCGAAACTGTAGGAACCGCGACTAATGAAGTCTTTAGTCGCGGTTCGGCAGATGAACCGCGACCAAATGCTGGGCCCAGGGCGCTCGCGGGCTTTAGTCGCGGTTGGCCAGGCCAACCGCGACTAAAGCTCCTCCCTTTTAGTCCCGGTTTGTGGCACGAACCGGAACTAATG